GCTCGATCCCAGGACCCTGGGATCATGACCTGAGCCGAAGGCAGACGCTTAACGACTGAGCCACCCAGGCGCCCCTGCATCCACACTTCTAAAAAACAAATCCTATCATTTCATTTCCCCAGTTAAGACTGTTAAATGGTTTCCCAAATGCCCTTGGAATAAAGTCCAGAATGCTTTTACAATACAGGTAACTGGACTTTGCGTAATATCTCTGGTGCCTGCCTATGCAGCCTGATCCCCCCACATCCCCCGAATCCAGTGATTTTTATACCCCAGACACAGAGATCTTCTTTCCACTCATCGAATCCCAATAACCCCCTCTTCCTTTCCTACTTCCTCCCTCCCTTCCCTCCTTTCTGCCTTCCTGCTTTCCTTCCTTCCTCTAAGCTCTTCCCTGCCTAAAACTGACCACCACCCACCACCACAACCAACTCATGTCAGCCACATTCACTGCTGTATCTCCAGCGAGTAACAGTGCAGTGCCTGGCACAGAGCTAGGAGCAGGATAAATGTGCTGAATAAGTACATGCTTAGGCTACTGAACAGCAAAGGCTGTTCCCTTTGCGCATCTGCTCTTTACTCTTTCCCATTTTTCCTTTCCTGTCCCCTACACCAGAGACCTCTCTTCTCTCACTCACCGCCTTATCAGTAACCTCATGGCTGTTGCAGTTGTCAGCCTTAGAGAGACACGCTGCCATGCCCACATGTCCATTGCCCTGCGGTTACTCACCAACAGGGTGATGACTGTTTCACTTTAACCCTGAGACACCTGGAATAGGCCCAGTCCTTTCCAGAAGTAGACAGAAGACCCCACCAACAGGGGCAGGCCACTTTTCAATCCGAGATTCAATAAAGAGATGGAACCATAGATCAGGGACCTCTCAGAAGGCAACATAAAGTCAAAAGCTTCACTATCGCTCTACCCACACAGAGTATGACTGAGCCAACAAGATCGATTATCAAAGTTGTGGTTAACTTCATACTTTAAATGGGATGGCCAACCTTGCTATTCTAAGAAACCAAATGGCAAATCCTTTTATGAAGCAGATACCTGCCTCAAGTTTAAATGGTGAATAACCACGATGTATTTTCATATATTGTTTACATTAACAACAAAAATAAGAGCTACTATTCATCTGTTGAGTACAAGCTACTGAGTACCTGACAACACACTCAAGGTTTTAAAAACACTATCTTATTTAATCTTTATCCTCACTTAATGGGTAGAAATGCTTATAATCCCTATTTTACAGAAGAAACCAAGGGCTAAGTTACCTGCCTCTTAGGGCAGGGCTGGGATTTAAATCATAGGCCTCCAACTACCACTCCCTATGGCTCTTTGCTATGTTTTGCTATTTGGATCACTTTCTCATCTGAGAAATCACAGACATGAACATTCCCAAAGAAACAGCCCCTTAGAAGATGACCTCAAAGGCTGAGATTTTTCTTCGCAATGTAGACATTGAAAGGAAAGTAACCTGCCACATCTTATATTTCAAAGCATTTCTATCTTAAAAGAGATTCAAGAAAAAGATGTGGGAACAGAGCTCAGGGGTGCTTATGAATGCAATTTCACAAATATTTTTTCAGTAGCTACCTGTGGTCAAGCACGTGCTGGAAGCTGTTAGCTGGGAGAGTGCTGGGCAGGGCAGGGTGCTACAGGAAGGGATGGGGAGACCATCGCCCATAGTGACTGTTTCAGGAATGTTTAGCCAATAATTTATAAAAATGTTAGTTTATTATCTAACTAAGTAGAAAGCAACTTTCACACAGGAGGTGAGGAAACTGCTTTAGTATCTGTGAATACATAATTGAAAGGGACAGTGTGTCTTCTAAAACAGAAGTAGTACATAATTCAAACAACTCATGTGTTCCTTTCTGATACCCCATATTAGAGGGTCAAACCGTAACTTGTATGAATACAAACACAGTATCAGATTTTGTTCTCAAGGGTCTGAAAGAACAAAAGAGAAAAAAGCACTGGGAGCCAAAACAAGACATTCCCAAAATAGAAAGGGAGCATACTGAAGTCACACGTATATACAAATAAAGAGAGGAGTACAGAAACATTTCCTAAAGAATTCCAGCAAACACTTACAGAGATAAGAATAGGATGAGAACACCAAGTAAAAGAAATCATGAGCCTGAAAGGTCACATACATTACTATGAGGCCTCCAGAAACCTGTCTCCTTGCAGAAAGGGCATGAGATGAAGATCATGGATCCCCCTCCTCATTTATAAAATGAAGGAGTTAGATTAGATGATTTTTAAGGTCCTTCTAGTCCTAACCCATTAGCTACTTTAATCCATGTGGCCCCTGCACCTGAAGAAAAATGAGCATATAAAGATGTTCAAAAAACTTTTGTTGAGGGGCGCCTGGGTGGCTGTTGGTTGAGCATCTGCCTTCGGCTCAGGTCATGATCCTGTAGTCCTGGGATCGAGCCCCCGCATCAGGATCCCTGCTCAGTGGAGAGCCTGCTTCTCCCTCTGCCCCTCACCCTCTCTGTCTCTCTCTCTCTCTCTCAAATAAATAAATAAAATCTTAAAAAAAAACTTTTGTTGAATTAATGAAACATTACAACCTTACCAATAAGAAGAGACTTTACAACAACTGGTCCTGGCCTGTGGCCTACAAAGAACAAATTAGAAGAGAAACCATTATCTAAACAGTTTCACATCTGGTGCTCCTTCTAGCTGACTGCTGGTAGAATGAAAATAACCCTGGACTTGGAAATAAGACACTTGGGTCTAGTCTCATCTCTGACACAAACCAACTTGTGTGACCTTGGGCAAATGGCTTTACCACCTGGGCCAGTTTCCTCATCTCTAAAATAAAGGTGTTATAAAGCTATATATAGCCAACATTTGTGGAACCTTTACTATATGCCAGGAACTGTTCCAAGATCTTTGTCTTAAATTTAAATGATCTCAAAGGTTTTTGCTGCTCTAACATTTAGTCTGACTACAGAGGAAACATGGTATGATGGAAAGATTCCAAATTCTGTACTCAGAAACGTCGGACTCCCTTCTCGCTCTGTTAGGTGGGGTCTTTTTTTTTTTTTTTTAATTTGACAGAGTGAGAGAGAGCACAAGCAGGGAGAGTTGGAGGAGAAGCAGGCTCCCCACTGAGCAGGGAGCCTGATGCTGAGCTCCATCCCAGCACCCTGGAATCATGACCTGAGCTGAAGGCAGAAGCTCCTGACTGAGCCACCCAGGCGCCCCAGGCGGGGTCTTTTTTTAAGCAGAGACTGTTAAACAGACTACGTTATCTGAGTACTTCTGTTCCCTAGCTGAGTTACTTTGGACAAGTTGCTTAACTTTAGTTGCTTAACTTAGTTTTCTAATATGTGAAAAGCATATAAAATGGTTCTGTCTCTCATATAGCTTTTGGGAGGATTAAATTATAGTAACTAACTGTAATATATATTAATAAATACACATATATTACATTTTATTACTAGGTGTGTGACCGAGGACAAATCATCTTCTCAAGGTTTTTCCTCAACCACAGATGGGAGGTACGGTGTTATGAAAAGAAGCAATGTGAACATTTTGTAAACTGTCAAATGTTAGCCGTGTTTGAAAGCATGCATATTCCCTAATACTTGGATAAGCCTATACAATACTCCTCTAATACCTGTAACAGCATATACAATCAATGACAACGGCAACAATAATAAAAGACATCTTTACTAGACATATCTCTCCACTCCCCAACACCAAAAGACTTTTTCCTAAACATCTCTCTAGTCCCCGCTCACAGCCGGTGGACACAGAAGCTGGCAGCCAAAAACGCAGGGCCATATGGAAGTTGTAGTTCCGAGTCAAAGGGCTGATCCACAAAACGGCTGAAATGAGACTTCATTTCCCAGGAGACACCTCGCCGCACCAAATGGCACGCTGGGAGATGGAGTCCCAACCTTCCGGGAAACAGGCAGCGGGACTCCAACTCCCAGACGCCTCCGCTACGCAGGCCGCCAGCGGTAAAATGGAGCCGCAGAGGGAGAGTGCGCGCACACCCGGCTTAACAGGTGCGACTAGGGGCCGCTCTTAGTCCCAGGCCCAGCACAGGTGAGGGCCTTTCTACAACAACCACCGGGATCATTTTCTGCTGGTCCCCAGCACATTTCTTGAGAGATCCGGAATAACAAAGCAGTAAGTTTGCAAGTGGCAGACTTTCACAAACAAGACATTTAGCTTTCCGCTCCAACCAGCATCCTTGGGCCACTTGGGCAGAGATCTTTAAGCTCTCTTTTCCAAGATAGAACACTGAGTGGCTGGTCCAAGGTAACACACCAGATGGAGAATTTGATCCTAGAGAGGAGCCTCCAACTCCGGTTCCACTAACCAGCCTCCCCTCTCCACTCCCCTCCCCCCGGCCCCACACGGATATACGTTTAAAATCCCCACATATTTTTATATAAAAACTACATTAATCCATAAAATGCCAAACGAGCTTGGAATCGAGTTACCCCACCAGAAAGAATTCACTGCTTTTTAAAATGTTTTTAAAACATCAAATGTAAGATAACTCCCAAAATTCTGCCTTCCCTCTACCTACTTGGCTCCTTTCTTTGGCACACGTTCAGCCCCTTCCCTTTGGGGAACCCAGAGCTGGGTGTTTAATACAGTTCTTTTGGGGCAGCGACTCCTGCTACTTGCCTGTGAGACTGGCAAACCCTGCAAAAGCGGCCCTTGCCAACTACACCACCAGGTCTGGGCGCTGGGGCGTCCCTGGAACCGCTGGCGTGGTCCCATGCCTCAGTTTACACCCTTATGCAGCAGATGAGGGGCGGGTTAGGGCTGGTGGTCAGAACGGGTCCTGAGGTTCAGGGGGTAGAAGGGTCCTTGGGGCAGACACACCACCACCACCACCCCAGGAGCTGTGCAAGCCAGACCCCGCCCCACTGGACTGCGGGTGTATGGACCAGACGCGCGTGGAAAACAAGACCCGCACCCCAGAAACACTCTTCGACTGGGGCTTGCCCCCTGCCCCTACCTTCCAAGATCTTGGCAGCTGGGAAGTGAAAGGCAGAGGGAGGGAGCGCGGGGCAGGAACGGCACCTGGGCGTGTGCCCACGAGGGTGGCCGCCTGAGGGACCCTGGAACAGGAGGGCAAAAGTCCCGCGACTGGACGGAACGGAGAGGGTACTACAATTCCCAGATGGCGCCGCGGCGGGGGCGGAATCTAAGATGGCCGCTGGCCTGAAGACAGAAGTGAGGGCCAATAGGCATAAAGTATGCGCCTACACCGAGCCAATCAGAAGCTATAATGACAATAACGCTGATTCAGGGGTGAGAAATATTGTTTCTCTCCGGAGAGCAGCTGAGGTGACAATCCCGTTGGAAAGGGATTTTTGTCATAAACTTCACAATCTTTCTTTTTTTCCAAATGGCAAAAGAAATAAGATTCTTCAGGCTGTGCTGCCTTTTTTTCCCTCCTTATTTCCTCCTAAACGTGTTTAACTTACCACCCCTCCCCCGCCACGCCCCACTACTCCTCACAGGTTGGATTTTCTTTCACTTCCTCTACTCACTCTGGATCGTGTTTGAATCCTTAAGCCTTCTTTTCTTTATGTTTTTCTCATAACACGGGCTCGCAGACCTTTACTTGATCGACTTTACGACTATGCGCGGCCTTTCCTGGAATCCTAACTAAAATTGCACCGGGAACTCCCTTGTCCCTTCCTTTCTTCCTTTTTTGTGCTATTTTTCTACTTAGCACTTGTACTTACCAAACACTGTATGTAATTCATTTATCTATCTTTTTTTATCGTCTTGTCCTCCAGAATGAAAGATCTAGGCAGATGAAGATTTTTGTTCTGCTTACTGCAATACTTCTAGCACCTGGAAGTATGTTTGGTATATATATAGTAGGCACTCAGTAAATATACTTTAATTGAATGAAATCTAGAGTAGCCTTTACTTTCTATTCTCCCTTTCTTCAATGCAGATCAATTAAATCCATCTCTTGACGACCATGGGGTCCTTGTGCTTGCTCCCTTTTCAAATTCAAAATCATTCTCTCAATATAGTCTAGAATGCTGGAGAAATAAATCACTGATTCAGATGCAATTCCTAACTTTAAGGTGTTTCTAGTCTAGAGGAGTATGAGAAATAAACTTAATTTTGCAATAAATGCAATTGCAAATTTCAGAGCAGCTAAATAATTGCACAAGGTCATGCAGCTCATAAGCAGGGACTAGAATCCTGGCCTTCAGACTCTTGGTACTACATACCATGCTTCTTATAGCAACCTCCCATCAGGATTGCCTGCTTCCCTTCTCTTTCCTACCAAACCTAGTTCTAAGGAAGAAAATATATTTGCCAGTCATCTTTTACATTTAAGGAGAAACAAAGAGCAATTACACTTGGACAAACACTGAGATATTTCCCTACTTATCCTGACACCATTTACCTTTTTCTTTTTTTTTTTTTAAGATTTTATTTATTTATTTGACAGCGAGAGAGCGAGAGGAGGAACACAAGCAGGGGGAGTGGGAGAGGCAGAAGCAGGCTCTCCCCCCGAGCTGGGAGCCCGATGCGGGGCTCGATCCCAGGACCCTGGGATCATGACCTGAGCCAAAGGCAGACGCTTAATGACTGAGCCACCCAGCTGCCCCCCGTTTTTTTTTAAGATTTTATTTATTTGACAGAGAGAGAGGGAGACACAGCGAGAGAGGAAACACAGAGAGAGTGGGAGAGGGAGAAGCAGGCTTCCCGCTGAGCAGGGAGCCTGAGGCAGGGCTTGATCCCAGCACCCTGGGATCATGACCTGAGCTGAAGGCAGACGCTTAACGACTGAGCCACCCAGGTGCCCCTGCTCCCCCCCCCTTTTTTTAAGAGAGACCAAGCCAAGCGGGGAGAAGGAGAGAACCTTTTTTTTTTTTAGAGAGAGTGAGAGCAAGGAGGGGAGAAGGAAAATCTTTAGCAGGCTCCATGCTCAGCATGGAGCCTGATGCAGAGCTGATCTCACAACCTTGAGATCATGACCTGAGCCAAAATCAAGAGTCAGACGCTCAACTGACTGAGCCACCCAGGCATCCCAATTTCCCTTTTTTTTCCGCATCACTTTTTTCTTTGGCCTGCTTCATTACATGCAGGTGATTACACCAAGTCTTAGATCTCTCATCCTTTCTGATGTTTGAACCCCATGGAGAGTAGCGAGGTGTCCTACAAAATGTCCTGATGTGAAATACTGATGTCCTAGGAAGTTTGGCTCTCAGAGAATGTCACTGTGGATTATGGTCAATTTACAGGTCATCACACAGACACCATGGCCACAAAGAATACTAGAGAATTGTGAATAACTAGGTGAAATTGAAAACAATCACAGATGAAACAGAAATGTGATCAATTTGTATACAGACTAATTTTGTGCATAGAAATTAAAACCCCTGCTCAGGCTTCCTAGCCTAATCTGTCAATTTGGGGTTGTTTCCTATAACAAAACAGTTCTTTCTAGCTTTTATGAGCACAGACTCAGCTCAGTGGTACCAGCTTTCCTCAGCTAAGTGGCATGAGAGATTTCAACACATGTGTCAGCAGCCAGACTTAAATGTGGAAGGAATCATTGAGCCATATGAAAATGGGAAGCTCAACAACTAGACTCTTCTCCTGAGACAGCATCAACCTATAATCATTACATCTTCTACTTAGCAATCAAAAGGCAAATGTCATGAATATATTCAGGATCTAAACAGTGGTATCTAATGATTATTAAACCATTGTTAGGCAGCCTAGTGTGAACATATATGTATTATGTGAACTGTGGGTGATGCTGTTTGCTGGGCTCAGCCATGACCTTCAGAAATACACAGATACATACATAAGAAGCATGAACACATGGCACTTGCCTTGGACCCAGAATGTCCAAGTGCCAAGACAATCAGTGCAGGATGACTGTCTGATATGCAACTTGATTAATAATCACCAGGAGGTGGTATCTTTGAGTCCTCCCAGGAGTATATCCTGAGACAGATATTCAAGTGCAAGTCAGTAATTGCAGGAAACACCAGTAGAATAGGAAAGTGAAATAGGGAAGGGAAGACAGACAAAAAAGCATGTTACTACAAGGGGTGATTGAGCTTAATCCTCCTGGGGAACTCTAGAAAACAATGTAGAACACGTGCCATAGACTGAGCTATCCCACCAAAGGGACAAAATAACGAGGTTGTTTAAATACTAACTCCCATCAGTCGGTATGTGGGGCCGTTTTCCAGGGCACTTAAGTCCCTAGATCTCTAGGCATGCTGTCTGAGCGGGCAGAGTTGCCTCAGTGTGCAGAGAAAGCCAGAGATACAGGTGCTGCCACTGGAAGTCAGGCTGGTATATCCTGAAATGGTGAGGGAATAGGGGTACTGGCAGGGTGCCAAGAGTATCTCCAGGTGGCTCTGGGTCACCCTAAACTCATTGCTGAGACTAGCAGAATAAGAATAATTCCAAACTTAAACACATACCAAAACCAAACCAAACAAAAAAGCAATCTACCACCTTGTATACTTCATCATGTGAAAAATTAAGATAGCACTTTCTAAATTCTCAATAACACACACAAACCAAACAAAATCTATAGCAACAAAAGCCTCTCACACTGGGAACTCCCTGGAGACCTCAGGAGAGGCTCCAGTGGGACTGGGGTTTAGTAGAGAGGGGAAGAAGGACATCAAGAAAAAGAGAAGAGGGAATTCAAAGAAATATTGCTGAAGACAATATGTTATTCATTTCATGATATTGAAGAAACACAAATAAAGGGCTTCAGATCTTTAAGAAATTATCATTAAAAGTGCACAGACTGTGGTCTTCAGACCTAGAAAGAGTTTTGTGCAAGACCTCTATGGGTTGTGCCATTATAGCACTTCTTCAGAGCAAATAGCTTTACTTGAAGTTAGTCACCATTTGTTTGTCTGTCTATTTATCATCTATCTCCTCCAAATAAAATGTAAGCTTCATGAAGGCAAGAACTTTGTTTATGTCTTACTCAGTTTTAGATAGGCAATAAATACAAAGCAAATAGGGCAAGTACTAGAAGGGCCTGACACATTGTACTACTCATTACACTCAGGTAAGCCATGAAGTAAAGAGACAAAAGTGACCCTGCAAAAACCTCCCATTATCACAAAGCTTGAGACTGTCCTGATGTGTAGAAAGACCAGTGGTCACGTCAATGGTCTACTGGTCTTCTACTTAAGTCAAATATTTCCAACAGCACCCTCTTCAAGCATACAGGACCTCCAGGAAAATCTTTACCATGGAAATAGAATTTCAAAACTAGAAAGGCATTCGAGATCAAAGAGATCAACTCCCTGAATAATTCATCTCAACTGTATGTTACAGGTCATAATCCAGAACTTGGGGATATTCATTTAACTGGTAAAATCATTTCTAACAGGAAAACATTGTATTAGAAAAAAAAATGATGTGTTGTTTCTGTAATACAAAGCATAAAAAAGGCTGGGAAACAGCTGTACCCAGATGCTCACATCTCCTTCACAAATTTCTCAGCCCATAATCATTCAGCTTTTTGGCTGTTACGGGAGAAATCTGGTTGTTAATAAGAACCATCTCGTGATATTCTGAAAATTCTCTAAATTTTTCCCTTTTTTTACTCTCTCCTCTTATTTATCTCTTTGTTGTTCTGTGTTAAATATATTCCTTGGGTGGATTTGTTCATCAGATATTTAGAGATCGGTCTATTTTCCTATAGTTAGTGAACATATGCATGCTGTCTCCTTTTAACTATGCCTCATAAATAATCACACTTAATCCTTCTTACTGCCATCTTTTGCAATCATCTTCCAGTTACCTAGAACATACGGTGCATAAAACTAAGCTCAGTGTCCAAGCTGTGATCTCACTAGGGTGGCTCAAAGATAAGCTATGATTTTTCATCACTCTCTTTCAAGAAATTATGCCTCTAAACACATGGCCCTGGTTTCACTACATTTCATCATTCTTGAGGAAAAAAACGCTTTAAAAACATTTCTTAAAAATTAAAAAGCATATTTCTTTCGTAGAGGACTTAGTGCAGAATGGGATGCAACTTCACTTCAGCCCAGTTTTTCATGTACTAAGGGTTACTCCGGGCCAGCCACTGTGCACTGGGCTGGGATTCACGGATGAA